GTGGTGGTGGTGAAGATATTATGAAATCAGATCAGTAAGGATGACGATGACTCGACGAGAACGGAATTAACTTCCTACTTTTCATTTCCCTCATTTTTGTTTGTTCACTACCCAATTCGATGAATGTGATAATGATGATGAAAATTCTCAGTTTTTTCCTAATTTCCAATTTTAGCATCTCCTTTTCAGAGGAAGGAGGCAATCAATCATGAAAACGATTGACGCCTGTATCATCATCACCACCACCTCAACTTTGAACAAAAGAACTGCCAGAATCAACAGCATCGCTACTGCCACCAATGTCAATGTTCTTTTATTGTGGCGATGGTGTTTCACCCGACAGTTGGGCAAACATTTACCCAGTCATTATAACCACCACTAATAAAAATACTGACTCTCTCCCTCTCTTCGGTGATGGCCACAGGAATGAACCCTGCCAATCAAACTAGCTTCATTCTGGTTCACCGTGACCAGAAACAGTCGAGACAGCAGTTCACTTTTCGAACAGCTTTTGTTTTACCTCAAAGAACAAACAAACATCGACAAATAGAGACATCATCGACACGAGGTTGGCAAATGCGAGTGCGACGTCAATGCCATGCCTCGATGAATGTGCAGCTTTTTCGGAAAAGCGCAAAAAGAGAGGGCTTTTGTGGACCTAATTAGCACCACCACCATCACCACCAAAAGTTTTGATCCTATTTGTACAACTTGTGCTTCGGTCACCACCACCACCACCAGTTCACCAATCATCCTCGCTATAAAATGGCTCAGCCTCAGTCGCGCGGACTTTTTTATATCGACAGTTCATTTCATTCTGTTTTTTTGTTTTCTTCTCCTGCAATTCAGCACTTCAAACAAAAAGGCTCAACACTTGAAAAAGCTGTAAAACACTTTTCAAGTCCTAAAAGATGACCAGCAGCCTGTCCCCGACCTTATCAACAGGTGGTGGTGGTGGTCACTTCCCCCTGGGCCGAAGCAGCAGCAGCAGCCGCTGCCTGACCGGCGCCCTCTACTCCATCATCTACGGCTCCCTCTGCATTCTCCTCGTCTTTCTCGGCTTCATCTGGTGCAGCAGCTCACACGCCCATCAACTGCAACTGCACCATCAGTTCCAGCAGCAGCAGCAACAACAACAACATCAACAGCATTCACAACCGCTCCCAAACAACCTCCAAAACCACCGAATATCGCCGGCAGAGCTCTCCGAGCTGACCATCAGCTCCCGATCATCAGCTCTAGGGCCTCATCAGCTGGAAGGCAAAGAGGACCGAATGGACAACAATTTGGCCCTTGAGGGCCAGCCGCCGAGCACAAGCACCATACGCCGGTCCTACCAGAGCTCTGGCTATGGCGGCAATGTCAATGACTACTCGGGTGGACAATCCTACGGAGGACAGAGTGGGCAGCAACAGCAGTATGGAGGACAGCAGCAGCAAATGGGCGGAACCATTGGCCGCCAGTTTGATCCAATGTTTCCCCCGGGAGGAGGAGGTGGCGGCGGTTACTCTGGGATGAGCGGCTTTGGAATGGGCGCCTCCGGGTACTACCCGAGCGGCTTCGGCCTGGAGAACCGCTTCCTCTCGCTCTTTCCCCGCCGGTCTTCCTTCTACCAACCGTACTACCCCTATGGACCGTTTGGAGCTGGTGGCTCACTCTTTCCCGGCGCTGGAGGAGGTCCCTTTGGAGGTGGTGGTGGACTGTTTGGAACCGGTGGAGGTGGCGGTCAATACGGAGGCGGTGGCTATCCAGGAATGGGAATGGGCATGGGAGGAGGAGGCGGGGGCCTAGGCAACGCCTTTGGTGCCCTAGGTCGCCTGGCGCAGGCCTCTTCGCTGCTCACCGGCGGACTGCAGAGCTACCGAGAGCGACTTCAGCCCGGTTCGATGCTGGGCTCGATGACCTCGGCGGCGGCTGCGGCTCAATCAGCCCCGCCGCTGATGCATCACTACAGCGGCGAAATGGAAGGAACGTCCTGAGAAGCAGATGTTTGAAGGATCTTTGGCCTGGCTTCTTCTTCTTATATCATCCACTTTCAATTAATTTCAATTTGTTTATACACACACACTGCATCAATGCTTTCTCTTTGTACAATGATGACGATGATGATGTTTGGCTTTCGATGGTGTTACATTTCTTTGTCCTTGCTACTTTTCCAGCAGTTTGTCCCGGGCGATGACCGAGTCGTCGAACTTGATCATGAAGGTGGTGCCCTCGTGCCAGTGGACGGTGACTTTGGCTGGCTGGAAAGTAAGGAAAAGGATGAGGAGAAATTAGTTGTGGAAAACGAGCGTCAAAGTGTTTGGAAAACATACGAAATTGCACTCGTTGAGTATCGCCTCGATGATGCCGCCGATAAAGGCGGCGCAGTTGATGAACTTCTTGTCCTTCGGCACGGAGATGAACTTGTTGACGATAGGCTCACGCTCGATGATGTAGTCTTTGGTAGAAGAAAAAAGCCTTTGTTAGCCTTTTTAGAAACACCTAAAAAGAACTGCCACTTACAGGTATTCTTGTCATCATTTGCCTGCTCCAGCTTGTCCGCCTCCTTTCCGAACAGCGTCAGCCAGACCTTGCTGCGAATGAAGATGAGCATGTTGATGAGCCGCGTCTCCCGCTTGTAGTTCTTCTCCCTGATCAGCATGATGTCCACCACGCGTTGGCCGACGGCGTAGCCCGTCTCTGCCAGCTTCGACTGCAGCTCCGAGGAGAGCTGCACGCGATGCTCACTGTACTGCACCAGCTCTGAGAAGATGAAGGCAAAGGCACTGAGGCTTATTTGCTGAAAAAGAAGAAGAAGGGAATTAGAAAAGATGATCAAAGAACGCCCCCAAAACTAACATCATTTCGACTTTTGGACTTTTCCACGGGCTTGTCCAGCGGACTGACGCGAGCCTTTCCGGAGAACTTGGGCGTGACGTCCATTGAAGAGCGATGTGTCTGGTTTGTTCACGCTGTTATTTCTGCTTCTGCCGCTCTTTTCTGATGATCGAGAAGAAGAAGTAATCGACGCAAAAAGTGATGGAAAGCGTTGATGACCAGACCAGCAAAAAAGTGTCAACAAAAACAGAAGAGAGATTTGAGAAGATTTAGCGGCGGTGGACGGTGCCGCACTGTTGTGGTCTCGCCCACAGACGGCGTGATTGCACGGGCAAAGGCAGGCGGTGAGGGGCGACGGAGACGGCGGCGTCTCTTTAACTCGCCACTGTAAACAACTTTCGCCGACAAGAACGAGATTCAGTTGTTGGTTGTTTCTTTTTGTGGAATCCGGATTCTGGACATTCAAGGCATTCTCAGGGTGAGTTCAAGTACTTTTGTACGAAATTTGCTCTTTTAGGTTCTTGGGTAACATTATCTTCTCTCGTCGGTTATCTCAATTGCCTTCTCGTGTTACAGTGTGTCTCGCATCTTCTAGGTTGCATCAAGTTTTTTTGTTTTAAGTCTTTGTATCCTAAATATCAAGAAAGAGCGTCTATCAATTTAGGTTCAAGTGTTCTTGCGGTGACAATGGTGACGGCGACAATGATTACCTGTCCGGACGATGTCGCCCACTTTTTTCTGTATCCCAAAGTGCTGAAAGTGCAAATTCCTCTACAAATCTCATCTGTATCCGCACTCTACTCGAAGTGTGCTCGAAATCTCTCCTGTTTCTCTCTTGTTTTGAGGGAGGAACAACCCGATACGCGCGTGTAACAATCCAACTCCTCTTCGATTAGATAACAAAAGTGGCAGCCGATGACAGTGGAGTGACTCTTCAGAGTACAGTGTTAAATAGAAGAAAAGTGTAATGGTAGAAAAGAGGAAAAAAGTACATCGTCGCCGCCTCGCTCGAGCGCATCGTACTTTTGCAATCAACAGCAGAAGTGGACGGCTACAGACGAACAGACACAGCCTCCACGGTTAATTTTGTTTTGACGTATATCTGTCTTCGGCAAAGTACTTTTTCTTTCTTTGTCTTAGTAGGACAGAGTTCTAAATGGGGAACAGGTAAAGAAGTGGTCTGTGTGTTTGTCTTGAAGACACAAGTTTAGCTCAAAATGCAAATCTCCAGTGATTATCAGTGTAAAGTGTTGACCTTCGATTGCTGTAATTACTGACACTCTTTTTCCATTTTTAGCCATCGTTACTGAAAATAGAAACTCGTGAAGCTCTGAAGCCGTTGACAACCACAGTCATCATCATCTGTCTTAGAAAGTTGACATTCAACAGGAGGTAAGCGTGTGCACCAGACGACACGGACCAGTTGGTAGCAGCAGCAGCCTCTAAAAACTCTCAGAGTCCTAAAAACTGGTTGAGCGTCGTAATAATCGCAATAATAATTACTTTATATGCCACCTCTTCTAACTCTCTCCAACTTTCTTTGCCCTTCTAGCTTCTTTCACCGTCTGACTAACTGACCAAAGTGGCAGCAGCTAAACCAGTTTGTAATATCTTTGCACTCTGAGCTGTTGAACGCCCGTGACTGCCACCGCCGACATTAGCAACTGCAGCAGCGACGACTACGTAGACGTGGACACGATAAGTGAAGAGTGTGCCGCACACGAAACCACCAGCAAAAGCACTCATTGTACTCGTAGCAACCGAGACAGCAGCAGCAGCAGTGTCAGGGCAAGCCCCCAGCCACCGGCCATTCGAGATCGATTGCCACACAGCACTCCACAGCTCACACCACTCACACCGGCACACATATACCAACGCCGACGACGCCGCTGACTATCGAAAAGTACAGTCTCTCTGAGTAACGTGATTTTAGACAGCAGCAGCAGCAGTGTCAGGGCAAGCCCCCAGCCACCGGCCATCCGAGATCGATTGCCACACAGCACTCCACAGCTCACACCACTCACACCGGCACACATATACCAACGCCGACTATCGAAAAGTACAGTCTCTCTGAGTAACGTGATTTTAGACAGCAGCAGCAGTATAAAAGAGCACCGGCACTCGTTTGACTCTCTCCCCGTTCTTTTACGCCAAACACACACTTCGGAAGTCAACTCCAACTGCTCAAGTTTGTAGAGACGCACCTTTCTTCACACTTTGCACTCACTTGCTCACCGGCTCATCACTGCACTTCACTATTCATCTTGTGTTCATCTGACACACCGGCTTCAATTCCGCTCACCTCCTAAACCTGGTAAGTGTTTTTGGGTTCCTGTTGTGCTTTTGAGTTAAGGAGATTCTAAATGAGTTCGGAGGAGTTTTTTTGGTGAGGATTAAAGGGGACTTAGATTTCCGATTACCAAACTCTTTCTCTTCCTTTCTGGTTGACGTGTCAAAGCTGTGTGTTTAGGCGCGCTTAGCAATAGATCTGTCTGCCTGTTCTCTATCCCTCTAATCTCTATCTCTTGTCGTTGGCGTCTGCCACACTTTGCCACATAATTGCTGCGCTAATCTGCGTCGTTTTCTTTCTGACTTTCTAGTCGCAACTTTTGCTTTGATGTGAGGACTTTGACCGGTGTTGTAGGACTTGTCTGGCTGCTGTTGCTATACAAACTGCTGTGTGACAGACGGTTTTGAATTTCATTTTTGATCATTAGGTTTTTAGGCTACCTCAAATGGACTCTTTTGTACAAGCACCCATTTTTTCCGATCTCATCAGGCCATTGTGTGATCCACTGTGTCGATTAGACAGTGTGAGGAGGAGGAGGCCTTGTTGTTTGGCCATTTAGATGACAATGAACAATTGTGAACGGTTGTTATGGCACTGACTTGGCTTGATGACAAACAACGACTTGGGAAAGTCTTTTTGCTGCTAATGTTTGTTGTTAGCTGAAGCATTGGCCATCAGCCACTACTACTACTACTACTACTACTACTACTTCTTTTTGGCTAACTGTTGGGATGGATTGACAGCCGTCTCTTCTTGGCATGCTTTTTGTTTTGACTTGTGATATAAAGTTTGATCGACTGTACTGACTTCTTTGTTCTTGTCTGTTGTCTGTTCCACAAGTGGTGGTTTCACTTTTTTTCAAATGGCATCATCAGGAGTACTTGCATGCTCTTCTTTTTCTCTTTTCCTTCTCTCCTGATTGGATTAAATTATTTTGAGCTTATGAGATGATGTGATGAACTGTACAACAGTGGTAGTGGTGGACTTTTAGCCGTAGCAACAGGGAAAGTACTTTCGCGGATGTGCGAGCTGCCTCTGCTGCCGCCGCCTCGTTTTCCTCGTTGCCTCTTTTGATGGCTGAAAAGTGTTTGTGTGTGCATGTATTTGTTTAGGCAGTTCATTAGTTGTAGTTACACACAGAGAGAAAGCTCGTACGGCTCTCTTTGCAGTGTGAATGTACCTGTAAAAAGGCGACGACAAACAGGCGGCAATGTACTTTTTCCTGTGGTCACCTTGATGGTGGTGGTGGTGTGAATGTACTTTTTGTCATTGAGAGTTTTGTGCACTTGTTGTGAGTGTTTGCTGATTGATTGATGCGCTGACCATGTAACTAAATTGATGAACCTGATGAGAAGAGGGAGAGAACGAGAGAAAGAGAAAGTGAACTTGTTGTTCATTGTCCTACAAGGCGATCGTTATTTGAAGACAACTGTCAACTTCTGTCAGTTCGAACGCTGTCTGCTTGCGCGCGGGTCTTTTTGAATCACGAGTCGCACTGATTTGCTTTCGCAATCTCAGGCAATATCACCGTCAAGTACTAGTAGTAGCACTAATTTGTACTGATAAGGACATTTTTGGTGTGTGAACACTGTACAGTACAGCAGTTCACTTCAGTGCGATTGAAAAATATATCAGCAACAGTATCCTATCTTTTTCTTNTAGTAGTAGCACTAATTTGTACTGATAAGGACATTTTTGGTGTGTAAACAGTGTACAGTACAGCAGTTCACTTCAGTGCGATTGAAAAATATATCAGCAACAGTATCCTATCTTTTTCTCGATAGCTAATGATCTCTTTTTTCATTCACAGATTTTTAACCTTTTTCTACTCAACCAACCAATCAAAGATGGCCAAGATTCCCTGCGGCCCAGTGGTGGAGATGCAAGGCGACGAGATGACGCGCATCATCTGGGACCTGATCAAGGAGAAGCTGATCCTGCCCTTCCTCGACGTGGAGCTGCACTTCTTTGACCTGTCGGTGCAGAACCGGGACGCCACCTCGGACCAGGTGACGGTGGACGCGGCGAACGCCATCCTCAAGTACAACGTCGGCGTCAAGTGCGCCACCATCACGCCGGACGAGGCGCGCGTCGAGGAGTTCAGCCTGAAGAAGATGTGGAAGAGCCCCAACGGCACCATCCGAAACATTCTCGGGGGCACCGTCTTCCGGGAGCCGATCATCTGCCGGAACATTCCCCGCCTGGTGACCGGCTGGGTGAAGCCCATCATCGTCGGCCGCCACGCCTTTGGCGATCAGTACCGCGCCACCGATTTTGTCGTGCCCGGCAATGGCAAGCTGGAGATCAAGTTCCAGCCGGCCGATGGCTCGCCGGCCATTGTCCACGAGGTGTACGACTTTGTGGAGGGCGGCGGCGTCTCCCTGTCGATGTACAACACCGACAAGAGCATCCGGGACTTTGCGCACAGCAGCTTTCAGTACGCCCTGCAGCGCAACTACCCGCTGTACCTGTCGACGAAGAATACGATTCTANCCCGGCAATGGCAAGCTGGAGATCAAGTTCCAGCCGGCCGATGGCTCGCCGGCCATTGTCCACGAGGTGTACGACTTTGTGGACGGCGGCGGCGTCTCCCTGTCGATGTACAACACCGACAAGAGCATTCGCGACTTTGCGCACAGCAGCTTTCAGTACGCCCTGCAGCGCAACTACCCGCTGTACCTGTCGACGAAGAATACGATTCTGAAGAAGTACGACGGCCGCTTCAAGGACCTCTTTGCGGAGATTTACGAGCAAGGCGGCTACAGGGCGAAGTTTGAGGCGGCCGGCATCTGGTACGAGCACCGCCTCATTGACGACATGGTCGCCCAGTCGATGAAGAGCGAGGGCGGCTTTGTGTGGGCGTGCAAGAACTACGATGGCGATGTGCAGTCGGATTCGGTGGCGCAAGGGTAAGTGGGAAAGGTTTCGGAAACTTTTTATTAGGGATGCTAATTTTAACTTTACTTTTTAGGTACGGCTCCNGAGGCGGCCGGCATCTGGTACGAGCACCGCCTCATTGACGACATGGTCGCCCAGTCGATGAAGAGCGAGGGCGGCTTTGTGTGGGCGTGCAAGAACTACGATGGCGATGTGCAGTCGGATTCGGTGGCGCAAGGGTAAGTGGGAAAGCTTTTGAAACTTTTTAAGGAATGCTAATTTTAACTTTACTTTTTAGGTACGGCTCTCTGGGCATGATGACCTCGGTGCTCATTTGCCCCGACGGGAAGACCATCGAGTCGGAGGCAGCCCACGGCACCGTCACCCGCCACTACCGCTTCCACCAGCAGGGCAAGGAGACGAGCACCAACCCGATTGCCTCCATCTTTGCCTGGACCCGGGGCCTGCTCCACCGGGCGAAACTGGACTCCAATCCCGCCCTCGCCAGCTTCGCCTCCAAGCTGGAGAAGGTCTGCGTGGACACGATTGAGGCGGGGCACATGACGAAGGACCTGGCCATCTGCGTGAAGGGATCGGCGGGTGCCATCACCCGGGCCGACTACCTGAACACCTTTGAGTTTTTGGACAAGCTGGCGGAGAATCTGCGCGCCGAGTTGGCGAAGAACTAAAAGAGGTGGTGGTGTCTGAAGTATGGTGATTTGATTTGGATATGGCTCAGCTAGGCTATCTTAACTTTATTTTAACTGGTGATCATTTGCCCCAGCAGCAGTATCATCTGAATTATTATTACTAGGATTCATCCATTTTATGATTTGAACTCTCTTTTTACCTTTCTTTATTCTACCTTGATTCTGCCTATTTATAATAATTCTGCCACAATTCATCTGTATACCATCCTCTGGTGTTTGTCTTCTGTTCTCGTTCTGTTCTGGCGTTAAAGTGCACATCGTAAAGGAAATAAACTTGCATTGCAACTTGTTTTATTTGCGGAGTAGTTGAAAAGAAGTTGGAACGCAAGTATACTCAAACTCGCTAGACTTTAAAGTTCGATTTTGTTAAGCACCACGTAAGAGGTAGTAAATAAACTATCATCATACCTCATCCTAACACTAGTTCTCTGTTTGAGTGTCACTTTGTTTTGCCACAAAAAGAGATCACCTGAATGATGAAATCTGAGCACTTTCCAAACTTCTTTTTGCTGGCAACTTTCTGCAGCGGCGGTGGTGGTGGAACACTTTTCCTCTTTCTGCTCCTGCTGACCAGTTTCTCTGCCAATTCACCAGCTTACGCCCATTCGTCTGGGGTAGAAGGTGATAATGGTGGCGGTGATAAAGAAGGTTCATCCCTTTCCCTTGCCGTTGTTGACAATGCTGATTTATTTCTCTTGCTGAAGCGCCGCTTCGACACGGAACTTACTATTGCCAAAAAGGCATTCATCACCACCCCCAACNTTGTTGACAATGCTGATTTATTTCTCTTGCTGAAGCGCCGCTTCGACACGAAACTTAATATTTCTAAAAGGTCCATCACCCCCACTTCAACTGAAGCTTATCACAAGAAGGATGAGGAAGACTTTGCAGGGTACAATAGCAATAGTCCTAAGCGAGCCAAGCGATCCAAACCAGCCAAATCCTCCCCTCATTCTTCATCTCCTCTAATTGATGATGAGGCGAAGAAGAGGGCCCACTTTCTGAAACAGCAGCGCAAGACAAACAAAGTGGCTCGCTTCTTCCTCAAGCATCGACGGTAGGTGTTTTTAACACTGTTAAGAAGTNAAGACGAACAAAGTGGCTCGCTTCTTCCTCAAGCATCGACGGTAGATGTTTTTAACCCTGTTAAGAAGTTTTTTAAAACACTTGAGCTCTAACCTTTTTCTCCACCAGCATTCGCCTTCAGATGAGCGCCAGCAAGGAGGAGGTGGCCCGACGGCTGCGTCGCCTGCAGACGGCCCTCTTTGGCCCCTCCTCCACTGAGGAGAGGCTCCGCCTGGTGGGCAAACTCCAGGCGGCGTCCAGCAACCAGGAGGAGAAGGGGCTGCTTCTCAAGCTCGAGCGGGCGCTTCGCAACCTTCGCGAGGAGGAGATCATGGCGGAGGCTGGCAGTNCCTCCTCCACTGAGGAAAAGATCCGCCTGGTAGGCAACCTCCAGGCGGCGTCCAGCAACCAGGAGGAGAAGGGGCTGCTTCTCAAGCTCGAGCGGGCGCTTCGCAACCTTCGCGATGAGGAGATCATGGCGGAGGCTGGCAGTGGCGGCGGCGGCGGCGGCAAAAATCAGGCTGACAAAGAGGGAAAAGCAGACCTCAAAGCGGCGAAGCAGGAGGCGGAAGCTGCCAGTAGGGAGTTGTAAGTGCGGGAGAAATGGGAAGCTATTTTTAGGCCCATTTTATGCATTTCTTCCCCTTTCCTTTTCAGGCGACGCTGGTACGGGGTGTCTCTTAAAACCATCGCCGGCGCTCGATCGCTGCGCCGCCTGGGCGCGGGCGTCGCCGGCATTGGCCTCCTCGGCGCGGCCGGCTACAAGCTCTTCATTGAGCAGAAGACGGTGAGTAGCTCTTTTTTTCTCGCGTAAGCTTCCCTTTCTAAAAATACCGTTTTTGTGCACTTTTGAAGATTAATCAGCTTCAAAAGGGGACTGAAGTGCCGCCGCCGATTGAAATTCGCCCTCTTCCTACTCGCCCTGAAGATGAATCTTTTTCTGACGTAAAAAATCAGAGCAGCCGCCAGTGGAACCTCATCTTCATCTCCTCGGGCGTGATCATCTTTTTTCTGCTACTGGTCAACGGCATTCTCTACTACCACTGCGTCGTACCTGATGTTGGTCGGGGTGGTGGTGGTGATAAAAGTCAAGGTCAAGTTCAAGGTCCAGGACCTCGAAGAGTCGGTCTTTGACCGCCTTGCAGCACACCAGTGACCAGTCAGCAACATCAGCTTTGAGCTGATTTGTACCTCTTTTTGTTTGGGCAAACTCTAACTTATCTTTTGGCAACTTTTTGTTGAGCCTAAAATTTCATTTCTGCTTTTTGCAGCAACAGCAACAACTATTGATAAATCTTTTTTCAGGTAAACTTTGGGAGGCTATTTTGAGACTTCTACACTTGTAGTTACAGCTATTAAAAGTTTATATTGTTTTGTTTTTGGTTCTGAAATGTTTTCTTCTTGCTTGAACTTCCAAGCAAAATTGCTGATGTGAAGGTATTTTTTGTTGCCTGCTGATGTTTGTGGTCATCACCAACGCCGTCTAATTAGTTATGGTACTTGAGTGACGTTAGTGTTTGGTTTGGTAATAACATCTAGCATTCCTCGTCAATTAATCATGGTTATTGTTTGCCCATTTTCCGGAAAAAAAGAAATCATTGCTATTTTGTTAGATCACTGATGTACGAAAGTAGTACTTTCTTTAAAAATATCCAGTAAAAGATTATGTGTATTTAAGCGTATGTATTAAGCGTTGAATGGCGTTTAGCACATTGCACAGAGCACTATTTTTGGTGTTTCAATAACTCGCAATTAGTTTTTGGTAGAAAAAAGTGTTCAGTTTATGATGATTTTAGCAAACATTTTTCCGTTGCTGGTGATGCTCACCTTTACCTGCACTTTTATTGTTACAACCACAACTTCTTCTGACTCGATCTTGCGGTCTGCCTCTGATCCTAGTAAAGAAGGTAGACCAAAGAACTTAATTTTTATTTTTTATCACAAAAAATTTGTTTGTTGTTTTTTAATTTTTGATTCAGAAGCGCCAACGGTACCAGATGCCTCTTCCATTAAACAGCTATCTGAACTTCCTCGCGAAGTTTTGTTAAGCACTCTCAATGGAAAAGGCAGCCAGGAAGTTTGTGCTCTGGCCAAAAAATGTATTGACGAGCTGACCGATGTTGTCACAAAGCTGAACACCGATAATCCAATGAACCAGCTCATCCAGCAGACGATTAATTTTTTCAATGCTCAATTTGAAAAGCTTTGCCCAGTTCCTCCAGTAGATTTGTAATCAGTCAGCTATTAATAGTATTTTTGATTTTTTGCTGCTGTTTTTGTTGATTGAAAATGCTTTATTAGAAAAAACAAACACTACGATCATTTTTTAAAACTAAACTTAGATCAATTTATAAAATGACTCGATCATCTTTTTGCCTTATTAAAGTGCACTGTAAAACAACACTTGTCATTTGTGAATAACAAAATGATGTGAGTATTGTTGGTTGTCCTTGGGGCTTGCATCCCATCGTCAACATATTTCAATTAGTAATGGCAATGACGGTAACTTTGCAAATAAAAGTACAAAATGAAAAGTTGATGACCAGATGATTGTCACACCAGTGCAAGTGGAGAGGAATGTGAGAGACAAGTTTTTGGCGTTTCGAAATTGTAAGTGCAAATAAAAATGAGCAAAAACCTTTGTATAAAAGAAGATAGAAAAAACAAAACTAACAACTCACTTGAATATATTTACTAGCTTTTATTTATCATGTTTACAAACTTGAAAGTAATAATTTTTTCAGGGATGATTTTATTTGCCGGTATCACCGCTGCCGTAGGTGATTCCCCACCCAACCCTACTGGAATACTAACAGGTACTTTTTGATTAATTTTTTTTTATTCAATTCCAAACTTTTTTTATTTTTTAACTTTTTCTCAGCTTTACCAAATCCGCTGAGCAAATGCAAGTGCTGGAACGAAATACAAATATTTTTTTTCGGAAGAGCAGCTCAAAAGCTCGGCAACGAAACAGTGGACACTTGTACAATGGCTCACAAAATGGTAAAGACCTGTTCGGATCAGGCTAAAGAAGTGTTCCAGAATAATGAGCTTGCTAACAGTGCAATTGATTGGCTCCACGACAACACCATACTGGCACACGTTAACTCAGTCTGCCAAAACTTTTAAACTCTAAAGCAAATGAATTTAATTTTTGTTTTTTAGTTGCTAAACTGTTATGTTAATTAAATAAAACTGCCCTGAATTGATTAATATACAAAATGTTCATTTAATTGGTTATTTTTTAAGCATCAGCAAATTGCATACTTAGCTGGCCAGCAGATGCTCAACAAGATAGTCAACAGTGAAATTAGTTTCGGTTGTAATGGTAAACAATAGCAATCAACTATTGCTGGTGGTTGATCAACAAAACATGGTTGCTTATCAAAATTACGTGAAAATAGTTGGATAAAAAAGATATTGTACAATATAAAAAATACAAACGTTACGGGCTAATCATCGACTACTTTTTACCTTTTAATTTTTTCATCAATGATTAAAATGACTTTTTCTTTAAAAATGGCTATGCTCTTTTTTAGCTTAACAACTGTGTTTATCATAACCGTAGATGCCATAGCGCCCGGAATTGGAATTGGCCTTCCCAACATTCCTAGCATTCCCACCATTCCCATCATCGTCAAAAACAACACCGTCAACTTGATTCCAGCCATTAATGGCTTCAACAACACTCCTACAAACTCCTCCTCCTCCAACAACTCCTCTTCTAGTCCAATTAAAACGCTGCAGCAAATTGTCAATGTTCCAGCAGCATCACATGCATCAACAGCAATAGAGGAAGCAATAGCAGCAGCAGCAGCA